TCCTCATGCCTCAAAGTACAAAATCTGAATCACTCAGCAAGTTATCTACTTTTTTCCACGTCTATGTCTCCATAAAACTTTGTTCGTGAATGAATCTGGATTATCCCGATTTCATGCATTACTGTTTACCCTAAATGATACAACATAGTTCCTATGTTGACAAAACCTTCTTGCTGCTTCTGTTTCTCCTTAAAGAAATGGTTTAAACTTTTTGTTAGGAACTTCTGTGAAAGTATTAGTCATAGTTCCCTGAGCTGGAGTAGAAAGATGCCAGTCCATCACAGTGAAACACAAAGACAAAGAACAAACAGTCATGTACTCACACCTAAGGCCAATTTAGAGAGATAAATTAAACTAGCAGTCACGTCTTTCACCATGGGAAGAAGTGTGTTCTCCCATGCATGCATGAGAGACCGTGCAGGCTCCATGCAGAAAGACTCCAGGCCAGGATTTGAACCCAGGACCTTCTTGTTGCTCCAGCATGTGGCCCTCACATGGATTTAGCAATTTAAAGAGAAAATGTTTGTCTTTATGGAATACAGCAGTTCATCAGTGTATATTTAAAGTGTGCACTTGCACAAAACTGTGGAATTTAACACTATTTTTACAGTGAAATTATTTCCACATTAATGCTCATTGCTTAAAACTGCTGCCTGTCGAACTGCCCCATCTATGGCAGCCCATCAGTCCACCTTTTACCCTTCAAGAGTGGAGCTTTGTGAAAGCATGTCACTTATGCAACAGCTTCATAGACGGTGTGGTGTTTGGAAATTATTCTGCTCAATTTGGTGAACCAGTTAGTGGGCAGATTGGTGCAGCCATCAGCCTCTCCCAGTTTAATTTCAAATGGTAACAAGGAGCTTGTTTGTCTTGGAAAAACTGGAAAATTTGTGAAAATGCAGGTAGTTGATATTTGCAAATATATAGCAAATAAGACTCACTGCAATAAGACATCTTGCGAGTACAGGTGGGAACTATTACTCTTTCTAACTTCAAAAATCCAAAATGTCCCTTGAACTACTTAATTACTGCTGCATATCCTTACTGTTACATTAAAGAGGACAGCTGCTCAACTTAGCAGTGCATGGTTGTGTTCAGTTACTAGTGCTACATTTTTGCACCTAGTCCCACTGTTTTAATGAAAGAGTAAGTCTTCCTGAAAGATGAATAAGGCTGATGGCAGAAACTGCAGAGAATTAATAAGCAGAGACACAGAAACTAATCTAAAATGAGAAGAGCAGAAAAGCAGTGATGGAGAGATGAGAAGTCAGTGAGGGATGGCTTCTCAGGTATGTTTACTCTAGTTTACCTCATGTGTTCTTTCCATTGTATGTAAAGCATGAATTAATGTTTCAGTGGGAAAGAGATTTCTCAAATACATACGTTTCAGTCAGCATGAACAGATTTTTGCCAGTCTTTGTCAGGAGAACTGGAAATAAATGAGAACATGTGGACAAGGTGCTGAAGAAGGATTGAAAATGTTCAACGGGAAACTGGAGCAGAGGACAAAACAGCTAAAAGAACTTTAAGTAATTAAATGATTGGTGGAAATGACTATAACAGTGAAAGAGACAAGAGTGATGCAACAATGAGAAAAAACAAAAAAAGGTGATAAATCAGACATGGAATCAAGAGAGGAGGCAGAAAACATTGAAAATCTGATAATAGGCAGGAAAAATGAAGAGTCTGCGGATGAGAATGGAACGGAAAATGTGACGGCACGCTCGGAACGATAGACATTTGGTCACGATGAAGCACGAAGATAACATGGTGAAAGTCAGGGTCGCAGATTAAAAGAACCTGCGATGTGGTTTTCCTTCCCAGTCAGAAGCAGTTTTCAGTCCAGACTGTCTAATTGATCCAGTCACACAGCTGTGTTTCCTTTGCTGGTTAAAGATGCACAGCGTAAACAACAATGCTTCATTACGTCTTTCCTACTTGATATGTTGGCTAATGAAATGTGATTTCCAAACTTCAAACAGCTCTATAACATCTGTATCAAAATCCAGTTTATTTTTTTAATTGCATAAACTGTCAATTGGGCTAAATGTTTAAAAATTTGCTTCTGAGTGATTTCTTTTTTTTTTTTTTTTAATCTGGCCCTCAAAGAGTTTTTGACATTCAAAGTGTTCAGGTTTGTTGTGACCTCGTGGATAATAACTTAACATCATAACAAAATCTATCCTCCTCTCCCATGTCTCATGGAAATAAGAGAATCCGTTCAATACTTTTTGTTAATTCTGTTTGATAGAACCTGCAATTTATTCTCAGTAAGATTACAATGTGGTTTGACTAATGGTCAATTTATATGTGAATGTGAGCTCCAGTTCTTCCTGATCCACTATTTTTTTTTACTACTTTTATCATTTTGGACTCCCCAAAACAAAACAATCACAGATGGTTCTTCAACCATAAAATCCTTCTGCCACTCAAAAACACTCATTTGTAAGTGGCATAAATTAGTAAAGAGGGTTAGTGAATAGTTTGCTGTATTTGAGGATTATTTCTTAGTATTTCAAGACTTTACATCCAATGGGCATATTTCCAACGTCCCAAAAGGCAAATGAAAGATACTTAAAGGAGAAATTGGGATCAGAACTAAATGTCAAAGCTGGTAAAGTGTAGGAAGATCTCTGTGTAAACGGTCACAAAGGAATTAAAAGCCATTTTTGGAAGGAATGCATTTGTGAATTAACGATGCAATAAATAAATATCCCTTTTGTAAATAATTAAACAGCAACTTTATCCAAATATTGACTTGTGTGATTGTGTATTTAGGAGTACAGTATGTTGTGCAGTTTCATTTGTTGTGGTATTAGGTGACTGGAGAACTATTATTAAAAAAACCCTTGTTTTTTCATTTTGCTTCTACTATACTTCCAAGGAAATGTGCAACGTTTTGAAGAACTATGGACAAAAATCACATAGAGAAGTAAAAATAAACCTAAATAAACGATTACAGTTGGACTGAAGACGGTTGTCAACTACATTTCTTCTGCAGATTAGATGGTTCACCACTATTCTTCCTCGTTTTAATAATGTAGTGATAAAATCTAAACCTAATTTCCTTCATCAGTTTATTTGTTTAATATTTACTGATAATTTGACCACTTGAAGCAAAAATAAATAAATAAAAATACAGGATGTGTTTATAGAACTGGACTACGTTCACTGCATCAGTCAGGGTTGACTAACTTGGTGCCAGATGAACCAATTCAATCAAAGCAACGTTTTCTAATTAACTTAATTAAATCCGGGTTGCTTTCTGTGTTTCTTTTTCTTTTTTGTCTTTTACAGTTAGCAGTAAAATACCAGGCATTCCACACACTCCCTTACTCCATTTTAATATATACTTGAGGGAAAACTGACTTTGGCAGTGAAGCAGTAAAATATGTTGGAGCATGTCACAGCCTGAGGAGAAAACCGGAGATGCAACACATAAAATCTGCCCTGAGTTCTGACCTGTATTCATCCTCTTCTATGCTTTATATGCAGATTAATTGTAGAACGTGTTGTGTGCAGAAGCAGTTTATTGTATTTAATATAGAACTTACACAGTATATAGTCTGCATGTGTCGTCCTTGGCTGTACTTATGAAGTAGTTGAGATGCAGAATGACTGTAAGTCAGTGAAACCAGACAGAAAAAAACTATCCTGAACCTGGGAGTGAAAGATAAAGCTGATGGCTAAAACGAAGAAGGAATGAAAAAAAAATAAAAAAAACAAAGGGGAGAAAGGGGGACAGGCGGCCTGTCAGCCGCCTGAAAGATAAAGATTGGAGTGTGAGGGAGGGACTGAATCAGGCGAGGAATAAATGGAGAGAAGAGAGGGCTTGAGTGAAAATGAGCAGGAGAAAACAGAGAGGGAGGAAGTGCCCTGTCTCACTCTCATCAGTCAGAGCGTTGGCCATCCTGTGGCGGAGGATGCCGTTGTCACCACGACGGATTCCCACTGTCCGTATTCTGCTTACCTCCAAGAATATTACTGATGTACACAAAGAAACACACACAGTGGAGAGAGAGAGACACATATTCAGGAAGGGCACATGTGCCTTTCCTGGAAGAGACAAACGCACAACTGTACTGGTGTCAGGAAACACACAGACAGATATTCTGATGTGAGAATTAGATTTTTTTTTTTTGTTACTGACCTTAATACGACATAAGATCTGGGTTTAATTTTGATTTTCAGATTGGCTCTTGAGTATTTCAGTTTTAGAGTTTGAAGCTTTATTTATTTCTCAGACAGTTTAGTACTTTGAAAAAAAAAAGATAAAAAAAAACAAAAGAAAAGCAGAAGCAATGAGAGGCGGCAGATTTCTCAATAAAATATTTCTTTTCAAGCATGTGCAGTCTGTGGACTTCACTGAAACTTAATTATAGTATAAGCTTTCTGTTGTTTTTTGACCAGCATAATATCTTTCCATTCAGATTGTCTTTCAGATGCATTTTCCCTTTGCAGTGCCGTGCACGTCTACGCTCTGACTGTTGTTGGTGTGAAATAAGTTTTGGTGATTTATACACACATAGATACAAGGACACCATACTGCTGCAAGCATCCACAGAGTCTCGTTATTCTGACACCGTGCATCGTTATTCATCGGCACACCTACATCCATGCAGGAAAAGGAGCATATAGCGAATATACACACAGTTATGCTCATTTGGCAGTTGTGCATAGGCCTAGTGAAATGATAAAATTGCCCGGCATAAACACACACACGCGCAGAGACAGTGATGCTGCATTACTTATCCTAGACGTCAATGCCTCATTACTGTGTCACACACACTTGTTGTCCTCAACACACACTCTGTCTGTGCAACTGAAACCTTTTTCATTTTATTATTTGTGCTTGCATGGAAACCACAGAGAAAAATAGCAACATATGTGGCTATGTTGAGCAACAGATGCTCAACTGGAGACATTTTGAAGAATTGAATGTCAAAATGTGTCATGAACTAAATCCTCTGTCGTTTGTCTTTTTTTTTTTATCTCTGCAGTACTACGAAATGTCCTATGGTCTCAACATTGAGATGCACAAACAGGTAGGAAAAATTGTGTTTACCATGTTTTGATATGTTTTGTGTTGTTGCTGGATTACTCGGAGGGGATGTGTTTAGGGGTTGTTAGTACAACTCTGGCCTTGTGTAGATGCAGCTTTCATTGAACAAGAGAAGGGGTGCAATACCACAGCCAATGCTCATGAGAGACATTTGTGCATGTGAGGTTTCATGCTTTAATATGTGTGTTAAAAAAGTGAATCTGAATTGTAAGCCCCACTATAAGTCCAAAGAAGGAACATGAAATGCAAATTGTAATGGCTACATATGAGCTAGTGTGAGGCTCTGATAGTAGCAAAGCAATAATTACATGACAATGTTGTAATATTGTAATTATTTTCCTTATGGGTTACTTCACAATGGCAGATCCAACATATACATGATAAACATCGACTAAATTTAAAGGCAGTTCTAAATGTGATGGGATTAATTGGCAAATATTTGAGAATAAATATATATTGAGTGGTCATTATTTCAGAACGTCAATGGCTGACAGTCCATGAATGTCCCAGGCTAATCAATGCCTTTCAGTCACACTTGCTATTGAGAAACACTAAACATGACCCATCTGCATAGTTGGTCATGTTACCTTCACTGCCGTTTCGATACATTACAACGTCTCAGAACACAACATACAATTTACCAAAACAGTTTACACTTTTGAGCTTACTTTCATTTAAGTTTAAATTGACTCTTGTTTCTTCAGAGTGACTCTAAGTTAGCTCTGAAATCTTTGTAACTTCAGTCTAAGACTCTCAAGACCCCCAGTTTGACTTCCGACTTCAGGCAGACTTCATGTTTAGGTTTCGCTACTTTATCCCTCAAAATTCCAGCTCATGAAAACAAATGAAATATATAAATATATATTTCAAGATGCTTGTTTTCCCAGTGGTTTTTGGAAAACTTGAAGGCGTTTACCGAGTTGGTATTTTGTCTCAAATGTGTAAGAACCTCTGACCTACAGGATAATGCAGTTAATAACACTCCTCGATTCATGCAAAAGACCAGATGTGCAGCTGAAGCCTGCGAGGGAAGGTCATCGTGAATTGTGTAACGTTTCCACTTGTCCTTGCTGAGATCTGGTAGTCTTGAATGAAGACACTTGTCTCATGAGCAGTGTGTGCTCTCAGGTGCCTGCAGCTGCTTGTCAATCCCCATACTAATTGCTGTCTGGGTCATGCTACAGGAGAAGTAGACAGTCAAATTGCATACAGAGAGCGACAGGCAGACAGTCAGATAAATGTCGACGTAGAAGGACAAAAAGGCAGACGCGAAACCTGTTCTAGTTGATAGACCTTCCTGCAGATAGACAGAATCATTATCCAGTTGAATGGCATTTCCTTTAAGGTGACTGCCTGTGTCGTCCTCCCTCCCTCTCTATATCTATCTATCTATCTGTCATGCTAACTGGCTCTCTGTGGCGGAGCCAGGCACTGTCACAGAGGACAAGACAAGAAGGGGTTTATTTTTCACTTTTACAATGAGCTCTTGGCGTACACCTTCAGAAAGCAGCTCATTGTTTGAAACCGTCTCTGAGACACCTTCCAATAAAAGGCTCTGTGCTCTGCACTTTCACCTCATAATTATCACGTCATTTAGCTATCGAGGTAATTATAGCAAAGAGATATCAAACATCGGATTTACAAACACAGAGTTCAGGCTGGGTGCATGGAGTTTTGTGTTGCTCTGCTGGTGATTTGAGTTTAAGGTGAGGCATCTGTCCAAAACTAATCAAACACTTAAAAAAAAAAACTGAAACCCGCCGTCGACTCCTACATACATAGTATATTTTTGTCATTACAGCTTGTTTTCTAAGTTGTGCTTGGTAAACCTTTAAATAAGGTGTGCTGAAAAGATTGATAGATGTATCTCCTGGTTTTGTTCAAATTCATTATTTCTAGGACAGGTGATGGGGAAAGACATCTACAGCAAAAGTCATCTGGTGGGAATTTAATCAGTTCAGAATACATTTTTTTTAACAATGACTCCATGCTTATGCTTTGAAAGAGTGATAAACACTTGAGATGCAAGCCATGTAGTACATTGTGGTAAACAGTGAGCTGCAATATTTGCAGAGGACTTTCTGTATTAAGTTTGCTATTTGCAGGGTGCCTATAGACCATGCTTGTTTTGTGTGTGGATCTAAAATGCATACAAGTGTGTTTTTTTTTTGTTTTTTTTGACTTGGTGTCCTTGCCTAGCGACATCTGCACATTTATTAGCAAAACTATTTCTTCATTAGTTTTGAGAGGATGTTTACAGTTTGGGTTATTTCTTAGGACCCTTTATGTTTGAAAATGGATAATTCATGTGTGTGATTAAATTTGAAAACAGGAAATAAAGATTTTTAATGTAATACACATACTTAATAGACATGACAGGACTTGATATTCCACAAAATAAAATTATTTTCATATTTAAACCTATGTAGTGGGTTAATATACCAACATACATTCTGAGATAGGAAATAGCAGGAGAGTGCTGCCTGCTGATAGTAAGGAATCCTTATTTATCTATCAGCATCGTCTGCAACACAAACTCTAAGAAGACTGATTATGTCCCTTTCATTTCTAGCTAAGAAAATGTGTTGTTGTAATTAAATGTCTGTATGATGTTTAAAAAAATAACAGAGAACATATGAAAACATATTTTCAGCCAGTGATAAAGAGGAATAATCCATCTCAAGATACTATATTGATATTTACTGTGATTTTAAAAACTGAAATATAATCAAATGTTTCTTCTTTAGAATATAAAATTCAGCCCCAAATCCAAGGATGGACTGTGTGAAGCCTTGACTTCATGTTTGAATGGCTGCTTTGTTACCAAACATAATGTCAGGGTTGTACTTTAGTCAGAAGAGAAACCGACTCTGCAGGAAGCGAAGGGATTAAAAGACACAGAGGGAGGAAGTCGGATGGTTGGCAAAACAGCCAGGGAGAGCTGGCCTGTCAGCTCCTGTCGCCAAAAAGAGGAAATGTACAGCGGTGTTGGCTTTACCTCTTAGAGAGGGAGAGCGGGGAGGATGACAGAGGCAGGAAGGCCAAGTAAGGGGTGAGTGTGGAAAATGGAGGGAACAGAAGGAGGAAAAATGAAGATGGTGGAAATGACAGCAGACCAAAGAGTTGCATTCAGGCAAATGAGAGTTCAAATGAGAGAGAGAGCGAGAGAGAGAGAGAGATGTAATCTCCAGAGTATATTGACGTCAGTGGTTAGTGAGGAAGGATAGAAGAAGAGTCACAAGGGGAAATATGAGATCGAAAGAAAAGGTAGAGGAGTTATGTCAGAATATAACGGGGTATCCTCAAGATACTCCGCTATATTCAGTACATATATATATATATATATATATATATATATATATATATATATATATATATATAGGTGCAGAATTTAACTTAAATATTTTCTAGGTTGGATATGGATACCATGCAATGTGTTCACCATCTCATGCAATCCTGCTGTCCTAAAGGCTGTGAACAGGATATTTTACTAGAAGCATATATTTGTTATTATTGCAGTTCGAGTGGTTTATGTTTGTAATAATAAGTCATCATGTAAAGGCAGGGATGTCAAACTCGGTTTCACTTATCGGTCACAGACTATAACTTGTGTTAGTTTACAATTTAAATTGCACAATTCAAATTAGTATGTTTGATAATTCAGATACATTGACTAAATAAAGACACAGGTCACATGTTTAACTGAATCCCCTAAACTCAAGGCCCGGGGGCTAAATCTGGCCCGCCGAAGCTTTTTATTTGGCCCTATAGACTCCAGATTACATCAATTAGTCCCTCCATTTTTTTCACAAGTCCTCAAAATTCACACAAAATCAACAGATCCCCATATTTTTCTGGATTTTATTGCCAATTTCTCAAAGTTGGTCAAAAACATTGGGTTTAATTGACGTCAAGTTAGTGTTGCAAATACATTTAATGAAAAGGCATTAAATACGTTTTACGTATAACACTGACAGTTTGTTTGTATTTCAAGTAGTGAGTCCACCGTGTATTTATGATTTTGTGTATCTGTCCATCACTTTCACACCTGTCACATCATAAACACTCAGGTTCGACTGGGTGTCCTGGATTTATTGTGTGGAGGTGTTCAGCTTGCTGCATAGCTGAATGGAGTTTTCTGCGAGGCCAGTACAATAAGTGTACAAAAGAAGGTTAGTGTGATTTTAAAGAGACTCTGATAAGAGGAAGAGGGGGAAGAAAGAGCATGGTAGAGAAAAATATAGTTAACCGTGGAAGAGGAACTGATAAAAGACAGCAGGGATGAGAAGGGAAATAGGAGAAAGAGATTAATTGAACGGATGAAAGAGGAGAGGGTAAACAGGAAGGATGGAGCTTTAGAAGTGTCAGAAAAAGACCTTATGGAACAGATGAAGCGGGGAAAAAAGAGCTGGAGATGAAAATGAGAGCCAAGAAAAGAAAAGTGGTAGAGAGGAAAAAAGAAAAAAGGGGGGAAGAAGCTGAAAGATAGGAAGACGTACAGAGAAAGACATCAAGGGAGGGAGGGGAGCTTTGAGCTGCTGCAAGAAATAATGAATCATGAATAGATTTAACAGTATCTGCTCTTATTTCCTCTCCACCTCCTTTGCCTCCCCCCCCTCCAACTTACTCCCAACATCCTGTTGAGATCACTGCCGGTAGCCTCCCCCTGCTCTCTCCCTCCTTTTCTCCAACACGTGCTCTGTCATTATCAGTGGCAGGGCCATCTCATGTCTCGGCATTAATTGAGCTGTAACGGTCGTCTCTCGCCTTCCTACCCTTCCTTTGAGCTGCTTTTGATTATTTTCTCTCTCTGACTCGCTCTCTCCGTCTCCGTTTCGCTCTTTAAATTTCCACCTATGCTCTTTATCTCCAGCCCTCCTTTCTCCATTTCACTTTTCTCTTCTCTTTGTCCCCGTCTGTTTGTGATGATTGTATCCAAACAGCACAAAGGCTCCAGAAAGATAGCATCTCCTCCATTCTTTCTAAGCTTTATGGATACAGTGACCTGCAGACACACATCACATTATCTCACTTGGTTCACT